AGCCTCTTTATTTTTTTAAAAGTCAATTTAAAAAGTCATCTTCAATTTAAAAATGGGCAAAGGATCTGAATAGACATTTTCCCAAAGAAGGTATAGAAATGGCCCATAGCGCATAAAAAGATGCTCAACATCATTAGCCACCAGGGACATGCAAAATCAAACCACGATGAGATACCACTTCATACCTACTAGGATTGTTATAGTGAAAAAGTCAGGTAACAAATATTGGCAAGAATGTGGAGAAATTGGAACCGTTGTACACAGGTGGTAGGAATGTAAAATGGTGCAGCTACTTTGGAAAACAGCCTGGCAGTTCCCCCAAAAGTTAAACATACAGTTACCATTTGACCCAGTAATTCTAGTTCTAGGTCTAAACCCAAGAGGGTACACAAAAACGTGTACACAAGTGTTCATAGCAGCATTATTCACAATAGCCAAAAGGTGGACACAATCCAATCCATCACCTCATGAATAGATAAAATGTAGTATATCCATACAATGGAATATTATTTAATAATGAAGTACTGATAAATGCTACAATATGGATGAACTTTAAAAACATAATTCTAGAAGGCCGGCCCGTGGCTCACTCGGTAGAGTGCAGTAGATAACCGGCCATCCCCTATATAGGGATGGCTGGTTCGCTCACTGGCTGAGCGTGGTGCTGACAACACCAAGCCAAGGGTTGAGATCCCCTTACTGGTCATCTTTAAAAAAATAAAATAAAAAATAAAGAACATAATTCTAAGTGAAAGAAGCCAGTCACAAAAGGCCACATATTACATGATTCCATTTCTGTGAAATGTCTAGAACGGGGAAATCTATCGAGATAGAGAGTAGATTAGTGGTTGCTTAGGGCTTAGGGAAGATGAGGGAGTGACAGGATGATAGCTAAAGGATAAAGAGTGGTGGAGTTTGGACATGTTGTCTTCCCAGAGCTCATGTGGAAATCTGATCCCCAATGTGGCAGTGCTGGAAGCTGTTTGAGTCATGAGGGTGGATCCCTCATGAATGGATTAATGCTGTCCCTAGGTGGTGGGGGTAGTGTCTGAGTTCTCATTCTGTTAGTTCCAGAGAGAGCTGGGTTTTTGTTTTTGTTTTTGTTTTTTTAATTTATTTATTTATTTATTTATATTTATTTATTTATTTATTTATTTATTATTTTTAAAGATGACCGGTAAGGGGATCTTAACCCTTGACTTGGTGTTGTCAGCACCACGCTCACCTATTGAGCTAAACGGCCATCCCTATATGGGATCCAAACCCGGAGCCTTGGTGTTAGTAGCACTGCATTCTCCCGAGTGAGCCACAGGCCGGCCCAAGAGCTGGTTGTTTAAAAGACCCTGGCACCTCCTCTCTCTCTTGCTTCCTCTCACCATGTGATCTTGTACGTGCATGCTGCATGCTGCCTGCCATTTTCCACCACGAGTATAAAGAGCCTGCAGCCCACATCAGATGCAGCTGTCCCAGAACTGTAAGCCAAATGAAACTCTGTTCTTTATAAATAACCCAGTCTCAGGTATTCTTTTATAGCAACACAAAATAGACTAATACATGGGTTTCTTTTTAAAATTATGAAATGTTCTCAAATTGATTGTGGTTATACAACTCTGTGAATACTAAAAACCATTGAGTTGTACCCTTTAAATGGGCAAACCGGGGCCGGCCCGGTGGCACACTGCTACAGTGCGCCGCTTGAGAGTGCGGTGGCGCTCCCGCCAAGGGCTCGGATCCCACATACAGACCGGTTCCCGCTCACTGGCTGAGCAAGGTGCGGAAGCAACACCGAGGGTTGTGATCCCGTTGCCGGTCCCGGTCCGGTACGGGCGCGACACTGAGGGTTGCGATCCGTTGCCAGACACGGAAAAAAAAAAAGACAAAAAAAAGTGGGCAAACCGGGCCGGCCTGTGGCTCACTCGGGAGAGTGCGGTGCTGATAACACCAAGGCCCCGGGTTCGGATCCCATATAGGGATGGCCGGTTCGCTCACTGGCTGAGCGTGGTGCTGACAACACCAAGTCGAGGGTTAAGATCCCCTTACCGGTCATCTTTTAAAAAAAAAAAAAAAAAAAGTGGGCAAACCATATGGTATATGAGTTATATCTCAATTTTTTAAAAACCTCCCCAATTTTTTAAAAAATGGGACCTTGGTCCATCTAGGTCTAACTTTCTCACTTTATAGACAGAGCTCTGAAGCCAAGAGAGGTTAAATGACTTGCCCAAAGTCATTTGTCATTTAGAGGCCTGAGCTAGTGCCTATTAGCCATTATGTTCTTACTTTGCACTGCTCCAAGTAAGCTCAAGTAGCCATTCTTACAAAATCAGTAAAATCACACAAATCACCTAGGATCTGGCACAGGTCCCTGAGCCCAGCTTTAGAAATATACAGTGTGGGGGCCGGCCCGGTGGCGCACTGGAGAGTGCACTGCTTGGGAGCGCGGCGGCGCTCCCGCCGAGGGTTCGGATCCCATGTGGAGACTGGTTCCCGCTCACTGGCTGAGCGTGGTGCGGGCGCAACACCGAGGGTTGTGATCCCGTTGCCGGTCAGTAAAAAAGACAAAAAAAAAAAGGAAAAAAAAAGAAAGAAATATACAGTGTGGGAAGGCTGGCTGTTTAGTTCAGTTGATTAGAGTGTGGTGCTGATAAACACCAAGGTCCAGGGTTTGATCCCTGTACTGGCTAGCCACCAGAAGAGAGAAAGAGAAAAAGGAAATATATGGTGTGGTTTTCTGAGGACCAATTTGTTCTTCTTACTTTGTTCTCATTAGGCTCAAAAAGGTGACACTTGTCACCTGGCCAGGCCGAGTTTCCTAAACTTTCACTATCGAGGTTTCATATCCTTTGAGGTAATGACAAATGCCAAATCACAAGGTATGGGCAAAGTCCTGGCTTGAAGACAAAGTGGACCTGGGTTCAAATCCAGCTTTGTGTGAGCTGGGCCAAGATACTCTCCTTTATCTCAGTAAATCGTAAAAAGAAAGGTATTTTTTGTGAGTATTGAATGAGATATTACATGTAATGTGCTTGGCACATAAATGTTAACTTCTTCCTTCCACATAAGAACTGAAGGGGCTTCACAACTGAGGCCTTCGGTGAGGTCGGTCAAGCACATTTGCTTGAATTTGCTTGAATTGGGTTTCTTGGGGATGAAATCCTCCATCACTCTGCTGGATAGAGTTCATCATGCTCTGTGCACACATCTGGCAGCACTTCTCCCTTGGTGCATTTTCATCTGGCCTACAAGGCTGAAATACCATTCAGAAACAGAAACACAAAATCACCCTGCAAAGCCCTGCCAGCTAGCTGTGTGCTCATAGGAAGCCATAGGGCTGCTTTTACAGGCTTCACATGCAACTTGGGGAGGGCTTCCCAGGGAGGGCCAGAACTAATACTATACTACCAAAGAGGAGGGACAAGGGTGGGGAGAGTTTGGGGTGGGAAATGGTACAGCAAAGTCATCAGCAGTAAGGCAAAACTGACAGTAATCACAGGTCCTAAAGCTCATGAAGGGGTTATCTTTTGTCAAGAAATTTCAAAATGAAGGACTGGCCAGTGGGTTATTGCTTGGTGTTATAACACCAAGGTCAAGGGTTCAAATCCCTGAACCGGGCAGCCACCAGAAAAAAGAAGAAAAAAATCCAAAATAAAAATGTTTAAAAGATCAGTTTTTTGTTACATTGTATATACAAACTTTACTTGCTTTCAAATTGTTCTTATTGCTTTTATAACATGTGTTCATCGATGACTCATTTTTCTATTTGTGAAAATTATTTGGGGTGTAAGGTTAGGATGAATTGCATCATAACTTTTCTTAAAATACTAAATTTTTAAAAAACCTACTTGTTTTTTATTTAATGACTTTGCACTTGGTTCTAGGGTTAATAGGTTAATTTTTAAGTTGGTTTAACTGACCTGTGCTCTCACAGGTGCGAGAAAATTTCTAAATTTCCACTTAACTGGCCTGTTCCACTGCCCCCAAAATGGTGGGCCTGCCACAGAATGAAAGACAATTAACGTGTAGCAATTATCTAATTAGTATACACCCAGAGTTTCAAAACGCAGAGATATCAAGAGCCACCAGAATTTAGGCCAGCTCATTCCCCTACCCCATTCCTGTGTCACTGTCCACTAATCCCCTACGGATACATCCGAACTGGCCGCCTGCTCAGAGCTCTCCCTTATCCCCACCGGGGAACCTCACCGCGAATGCCTTCCCTCCTAGGGTTCTTGGCTGCGCTCAGGCTGTCCTCCCCTCAACCCCAGCCCAGCGATGCCTTCCATACGTGTAACGTCAGGCGGTGGTGAGGACTACGGGGAAAACAGGGGTCAAGGGATGCTGGTGGGAGGTCAGAGGGGACTACAATTTTGATAAAGGAATCAGAAGAGTCTCTCCCACAGGCGCCGTTTGGGCAGATTCCTGTGGGAAGACAGGGAGCGAGCCACGAGCTCTCTGAGGAGAAACGGTACAGACTGAGGCTCTCAGTGAGTGGAGGCATCCCAGGCTCTGTATCTTTCGTAGCCGCGCAGCGGGGTCCAGGAGAGCGGAAGCAAAGTATGAGAAATTACGCAAGAACGAAAGAAACCTTGAACATAAACCTCGGCACCCAGGGCAGCCACCCACCCAGGCCCCGGGACCTGACCAGGTTCCCCATTGTCCAGCGGAGGGATGACACTTGAAGGCGGTTGGAATCACACTGGGCACACGACTCCCGTTCTTCCGCCCCGGTAGCAGCCCCCGCCCTTTACGCAAGGATCCAGCCCGCTAGACGTGGTCACGCCCCCACACGCACGGCCTTCTCCCCGCTCCGGGTGCCCGGGACGCGGCGCGATCCGACGAGCGGAAGCGGGCGTCCTCTTCCCGCCTCGCCTCCCCGGCCCCGCCCCTCGCCTCAGATTCCCTCCGCCCCGCCCCCAGGGCAAAGGCCCCGCCCCTCTCCCGCTCTATATCAAAGGAGCTGAGCGTCAACGGTTGGTCCCAGAGTCGGAGACTTTCCTGACCGGCGACCCGGAAGTGGTTCCTAAAGTAGCCGGCCGCGTGGAATCGCCTCGGGGGAGGGAACTGGGTTGTCGCGACTGCTGCGATGACCAAAATAAAGGCTGATCCGGACGGGCCGGAGGCTCAGGCGGAAGCGTGCTGCGGAGAGCGCACTTACCACGAGCTGCTGGTCAACCTGAACCCCATCGCGCAGCCGCTGGCTTCTCGCCGCCTCACGCGGAAGCTCTACAAATGCATCAAGAAAGGTGTGGCGGTCGCCGGGGAGGCGCGGGCCGGGGGCGAGGCTCCTACTGACTCTTCTGTCGTTGCAGCCGTGAAGCAGAAGCAGATTCGGCGCGGGGTGAAGGAAGTTCAGAAGTTTGTCAACAAAGGCGAGAAAGGGTAAGAATCCTCCTTCGCCGGAGTTTGCATTTCTAAACGGTAACAAAGGAATCCTTGCTTAGTAGGTGCTCGGGAAAAGTCAGGTTAACTCGGTCTCAGCCCCATATACAGATGATGATCAAGTAGCCAGTAAACTCCCTTCAGTACTTACACGAGCTCAAAGTGAATTCCAGAGAGAAGCGAACTGTATAAGCCAACTCACTTAGGGTAGACTTCAGCTTCATTCATTCAGCGACCTTTTATTGAGAGTCTACTCTTTTTCAGGCACTATGCTAAGGGTAGACAATGGCATTAATCAGATAATCACACACAAACAGAATTACAAGCTGTGATAGACAGCCATGCACTGAGAAATGACTTCATTATCCTACTCCCTTTCTGGCATTTGAGAATCTAAAGCTTGTTTACATCTTTATTCTCTGTATTTCCCACTCAGGCCAGAGGGTAAGTTCTTTGAGAACAGGGCCTCTCACTGTTTTATCCCCAGAAGTGTCTAGTACACTGTAGGTGCTCACGAGATAAATAATGCCCCCTGAGCAATTATGCTCAATGAGGAGTCTCACCTGGTTGGGAGGAGGGGGGAGTGCACCAGGGAAAGTTTCCCTGAGCCTTCCCATTTGAGCTGAGATCTGAAGACATAGGGATTAACTGGAGGTTGGGTGTGGTTGTGTCCTGCTAGAAGAAAGAGTGGGCCACAGGGCAGGAGAGAAGTTAGTAGTGGGCAGAGGTGCTACCTTCTTTTGAGCCCTTGTAAGCCATGGTAAGTTTGGGTTTTCTGTTCAGGCTTTGGGAGGCCACTGAGGGTTAAAGCCAGGAAGTGACATAATTATGATTACACCTCAAGATTTTTCTGCCAATTGAGGAAGGAATTAGAGAAACAAGAGTAGATTTGGGAAAACGCAGATAGGAGGCTACTGTAACCCAGAAGAGATGATAGTGGAGATAGAATTAAAGGGGATGGATTTGAGAGGGTTTTCAGAATGGAGAGGGGAGGTATGGGTGACTTCTAGATTCCGGCATGCCCAGCCAAATGGACAGAGGGTCCATTCTCTGGGATTCTGGACAGTGGAGGAGGACCAGGTTTGTGTGGAAAGACCACAAGTTTGGTTTTAGACAGGTTTTATGGGTGCCATGGAGACACGATTCCCCCTCCCCCAAACTGACAAATAGGTAGATGGCTATATGAGTCTGAAGCTTGGAAGAAAGAGGGCCAGGCTGGAGAGAATAGATTTGGGAGACATCATGGCCATGGGTCAGGTCAGCCAGGAAGAGGGTACTGAGAGGAGAAGGCAGCTGTGATCAGGCTGTGAGGAACTCCCACAGTTAAAGGCTACTTAAAGGAAGAGAAACCTGCAGAAGAGGAGGGCCCACCAGGCCAAAGGAAAACTAGGAGTGGAAGCAGTACTTTGAATCAAGGGCTCCTTCCTTGTTCCTGCCTGTCAGCCATCCTTGGAGAACAGACTCTTCCTTTTTTATCTTCAGGGTTTCTAAGGCACTTGTCCCAGAAACCAGACACCTTGCCAGCTAGGAACCCTAGCTGAGGGCTCCCTGTCACTCAGGTTTCTTAGCCTGGCATTCAAGGCTCTCGGGTGTATCCCCTGCTCTCCCACCCCCACCATGGATTCCAAAGCCATCCAAGGCTCCAGACAGCCCCTTTGTATCTGGTGCCATTCTGATGCCCTTAGCATCGTGCTTTCCCGGTTCCCAGCCCCTCCATGTTCTGCCTAACAGGCATTCATCATTCAGCTTTCCGTTTAAGCATCTCCTTCTAGTTGAAGCCTTTTTTTGACTCTCCAAAGAGAGCTGAGCTGCTTCTCAGCACCCCTCCCATACCTCATCTGTCCCAGCACTATACCACTTGTCATACTTTGGTGGTATTTACATGTTGTCAAGAAAGAGAGATCACCTCCCCAGAAGAATGCACTCACCAAATACAACTTTGCATTCCTTCAAAGATTGGCAGCCCTACACTGTGGGCTCCTGGAGGGTGGGGGCATCTTACAACTGACAGAGGGAAGGAACAAGCTAGAATAACTGGTTTCTCTCATTTCAGGATCATGGTTTTGGCAGGAGACACACTGCCCATTGAGGTGTACTGCCATCTCCCAGTTTTGTGTGAGGACCGGAACCTGCCCTATGTCTACATCCCCTCTAAGACGGTGAGGAACACGCAGCCCCCTGACCTTGGTCAGCACTGGGAGAGGGGGTCTGGGACATGGTCTGCAGTGGGAAGAAGGTGAGCTGGAGTTAAGACAGGCCACCGTGGATTCTCAGCTCCACTGCTTCCTAGTTGTGGGACTGCAGATAAGTTATGTCTGCATTTCACTTTTCTTATTGTAAACTGAAAGCCCCCTCCTCTGTGGACCGTAAGAATTAAAACAGACGTATGTGAACATGCTTTATAAGCTAAGATGCTTCACTTGTGTCAGTTGTTAGGTGGGTTCATGCTCAGAGGAAGTGTGTCCTTATCCTTACATAGCAGGGCCCAGATCTGGGGCACAGGGGGTGGGGAATGGCAGGGACCTGAAGAGCATAAGCCCTGCCTATGGGGACAGTCCCTGCTGGGCTGGAGCCTTTCCAAAGTTTGCCTGAGTTTATATGATAGAAACCAGGACTGGCCGCTTAGTTCAGTTGGTTAGAGTGCAGCCTTATAACATCACGGTCACGTATTCAGATCCCCACACAGGCCAGCCACCAAAAAAGTTTTTAAAAAAAGTAATGATAGAAACCAATTTGAAATGTTTTTAAATATAATGTGGACCCAATAGCATGGCTGTGGGCAAGATTAGGCCGATGGGTCATCAGTGTGTGAATCCCTATAGCGTACAGATTGTGTGACCTTTTCTCTCAACATCTTTTTTCCTTTGTAGGACTTGGGTGCAGCAGCAGGCTCCAAGCGCCCCACCTGCGTGATAATGGTCAAGCCCCATGAGGAATATCAGGAGGCCTATGACGAGTGCCTGGAGGAGGTGCGGGCCCTGCCCCCACCCCTGTGAAGGAATGGGCAGCACTTGGCACCTGCTCTGGAAACTGTTGGACTGGCGGGGGGCGGCTGGCTGCCTTCCTGCTGTCCACACTCATAGCATCTCTCTGTTCCCACGTCTTCTTCCCAGACAACTTCAACAGCTATTTCATGAAAGTAAAGCCAATGCCTTCTCCGTCAGTGCTGTTTCCTGTTGAGCCTACATGAAGACAGTTCCAAAAATGTGGAGTGGGGGAAGTAAATGCTAAGACTAAAATGTGAGACTGTGGGTGTTTTCTTAAGCAGCAGCTGCTGATGGGGCCAAGGAGTTGGCAGGCAGGAAAGAGTGGAAACAGCCTTTCCCACCAGAGAACCCAAAGGACTTTAAGAGCATTCAGTGCTAATTTCTGGCTGCCCAGGGCCAGGTTCATAGGCTCAAGCTGAGAACTGATTCTGCAGCTCACTCCAGAGCTTTCAGTTCCCACTTACAGGGTGGGTGGGAGCTGTAAGATAAGGCAGCAGGGCCCAGATCCCATGTCATGGAAGCCTGCAGCTCCTATGTCAGGGACACCTCCATTCCCAAAGAGGAATGTCTCCTTCCCCCAGGAACTTCAAATGCCACTGTGAGGCTTACGGAAGCAATTTACCCACCACATGGTAAATTTTAAATAATACAAAGCTAAATATAAAACCCCAGGTCATCTCTCCTGTGTAATACATCTCTTCTGGTAACCCAGCCCCTTTAAACATTTTAGACTTAAGTTCCCTCCTGCTGTCAAAGGCCCCACACAGGACTCAGTGCAGCAGCCAGGCTTCAAGCACCCTGGAATAAACTGGAAAGAGCTTGGGCATGAGGGTCAGATCAGGTTAAAAACTCCAAAGCTCTCTCCTTTCTAGGCTATGAGCCCTGTTGTGTAAGTCATTTCATCTTCCTAAATCCCCTTGTACTGATTTCTAACGTGGAGGTAATAAGATTTTACATATGTATATGTAAAAGCACCCAGGGTTTGACATCTCCCAAGTTTTCCCCCCAATCAGATGCGAGTTGGGTTCTTTCTGCCTGCTCACTGTAGTTGGCCATGCTTTTAGCCATGCCCAATACTTACAAGCAGTAGACACAGGTACTAATTATTTGTCAGTGACACTAAAGGCTGGCCAGGAGAAGTAAGGAGAAGGGCTGTAAATATATTTGCTTAAAGTTATAAAACAATGGCATTCAGTTCAAACTTGGACTATGTACAGTGGGAAATGGGTACACACAGTTGAGGCTGTACAGCAGGTGGAGATGGGCTACAGCTGGACACCCTTGGGCTGAGGAACAGGAGTGTACATGAGCATTGGCATGGCAGCAAGAGCCATGGCTGAGGGCAGAGAGATGTCTGCTGCTGGCCAAGTCCTCTGCTGCTCTGTCAGCTGCTACTAAGTCAATGGCAGATATCAACAAGAAGAGACAGAGCAGTAGTAAGAGAGGCCAGCAGCATTTCCCTTTCTCTACAGCAAAGGAGCCAGCTGCCTGGTGTGGGTTGGTTCATCTCCTTCATCAGCCTCTACCAAAGGGCTGGTCCAGCCCCTCCCCATGGTAGCACTCCTCAGCCAGGTGCTCTAGAACGAACCATGATCCACTGAAGCCAACCACTCTACCGAGACAGACCAAGTCTCGTGGGTGAAAAACCCCTTCCGACAAAGTTCCTTCCAGGCAGGAATCAGAATATGATGCGTTTCCCATCTGCCGGGTTCTGCTCCATAGGACAGTAGGGACACTTCAGCCTGCAAAGGGAGGACAAACAAGTGTCTCAGGGTGGCCAGCAGGTCAGCTCAGTACCAAGAAGGAGCACAGCAGGAGGAACTTACTTTCCTCCATTGATGAGCTTGTTGAGTGCATCTCGGGAGATGACGTGGCCACAGATGAGCTTGATGGGAGGGTTGGAATCTGACGTCTGCTGGCGGAGAATGGGGCACGCAAACACTGAATGATACCAGCACTTCATGCCTAGTTCGATCTCAATCTGGGGAGGCCAGCAAACGGGTGAGTTCCACTTCCTGTCATGGCTATCCTCCCCAGCAACTTCTGCCCATACCTCCCCCTGCCAGGCCTCACCGGTAATTCATCCTTGTGACTCCAGACGCCGGTGCACTGCCTCTGCTCAATCACAGCTTTGATGTTCATCAGCACAGGCAGCGCCACACAGCCAGAGGCAAAGCTGCAGAACAAAGAGCAGGGGCTGGAGTGGCTCAGACCACAGGGACCCAGCTGACAAGACAAAAGGACCAGCACACCATGTCTTCGGCACAGGACTTGAGACCCATTCTAAAGTGGAGTCAGGTCAAATCAGTCCTTGAAGATTCCTTAGATTGTTCCATAAAATGGCACATATGTAGTTATGTATGTCCAACTCTAGAGAGTCATTCTAATGCACCCCAAATTTGAGAACCTATGGAAAAGACAAAACGAAGCTCCAGGGGCAGATGTCTGCTCATCCAAACCACTGAAAAGTCCTTGGTGTGACTGGGAGACAGTGATCAATTCAGAAAGGCCCCAGCACACCTGTAGAATCTGCCCTACTCTGTTGTCATAATACACTTCTCTAACAGTGGCTATCAATCAACTAGGACACTTAATGGGGGAGGGGGATTCAGTTCTCATGACGATTACACAGGGGTAGGTAGCCTACTGGCTGGAACCTCAGATACAAAATACCCTATAGTGCACAGGTCAGTCTTGCACAACAGAATCGTCTGGTCTAAATTACCAATGGTATTCTTGCTGGAAAATACTGTTCTACAACCTGAACCCAGAACAAATTAGATCAGAGTGGAGTCAACCCACCATACTGGGGTGGAGTATTAGATTCCATAACTAGTGTGAGTAAAATGCACTGTGACACTGTCTGCTGCGGTGGAGTGTATGGCTCTGGCCTCAGGTCCAAGTGCCCTTTATCCTCATGAAGCCTGAGACAAGTATATTCACATCTTGAACCTCCATTTTCTCATCTAAAATGAGGACAACAGTACCTCTAGCTCCTAGGGGTGCGGAGGTTGAGAGAAGAATGCTATTGAGAAGGAGACTTAGAAGCAGGAGCTCTGAATATATGTTACTTAGCTACTCAAGTCTCCCCTGAAGGGAAGTGGTGTTTGAGAGATGAGGTTGTGAGGAAGGTGGGCTACAGGAGGGGCAGGGACCTCATTCAAGAGACCTTGCAAAATGGGAACCCTGACCCTGCCACTGACTTTGTGGTGACCTTGGGCCACAACTCTTCCTAATCTGTTTCTTTAACTGTAAAAACAGATAATTCCTATCTTGAAAATGACTAAAAAAGCCCATTTAAGTCTGTGAAAGCACCTGGCAGGGCCTTAGCAAAATCGTTTCCCTCCCTACCTTCCCACTTGTGCTGCCATCACAGGGCTGGGTTGTACCTGACGCTGAGGGGGGACTCCACAGAAAGCCCCAGCAACGAACAAGCATCTCGGGTAAAGGTCTCACAGATCTCCACCCAGTGGCTGTTGTCCAGGAGGTGGCAGTAGGGTGACTTCTCCAAGCCCAGCCGCAGGTACACTAGACTGCCCATCATCACCTGGATCTCTACAAGGCAACCAAGGCATCAGCTCAGGGCGTGCAGGGGCTCTGGGTCCATCCCCTAAGGGGGCACAGGACTGCAAAGCGTAATACTGTCAGCCAGGCTGAGCCCAGCAGCTTCCAGGCCCCTGACCAGACTGAGTAGGGGTTGAAATATCCTCAATCAAAAGTGATTTTTTTCTTTTTTTTCCTTTTTGTCTTTTTTCGTGACCGGTAACGGGATCGCAACCCTCGGTGTCGCGCCCACACCGTGCTCAACCAGTGAGCAGACCAGTCTCTATATGGGATCCGAACCCTCGGCGGAGCGCCACCGCACTCCCAAGCGCCGCACTCTACCGAGTGTGCCACCGGGCCGGCCCAAAAAGTGATTTTTTTCTAAATCCAGTGAGGAGGTGGAGTCTCTGGGCTGCTTCTGTAGAACAAGGACAGGGATTACCTGGAACTGGTAGGAAGGAGAGTTCCTTTCCAGTTCTCTTTCCATCCTTCTGATTGCATGAAGGAATGAGTCTCAGGTTGGTGCTAATGTCTCTATTCTCTAACCCTAGTTAATCTCCCTTTTTAACATAATAGATCCCAGGTTCAGGCTTTCAGGAGGCAGCAGTATCTAGCTTAAACACTGCTTGGTTATCATGATAGTTATTTTAAAATAAGATTTTAAATAGTAAATATGAGAGGGGCTAAAGAAAAAAGTTAATAACAGTGTGGATTACTACTGGTGAGCATCTTGAAGGTGAGACTCAAATGACAGATTTAGAAATCCTAATGTGAAAGAAGAGGGCTCAGGAAGAATGCTCCAGAGGAGATGCTCAGATGAGTCTTAAAACGAGTAGGGGAACTAGGAGGTCACCATACCTGTAAAGACCTTTTCACAGGACAGTATCTGTCTCTCAGGCCTACTGAAATTCCATTAAAGGATTTACTGTCCCTCAGAAGAACTGTCTACATTCCCCATCTCCCCCTCCCCTATTGTAAGTGGATTGAATTATGTCCCCCCAAAATTCATTGAAGCTTGAATTGTGTCCCCCAAGTTTTATGTATTAGAAACTTAGCCCCCACTGTGACTGTTAAGAGGGTGGGAAATCCTATTATGGTAATTGAAAGGTGGAGCCTTGAAGAGGTGATTGGATTGTAGGACCATGCAGTAGTGAATGGATTAAAAATGGTGGTCAGGGGCATGGTTCTGAGGGCTTTAAAAGAAGAGGAGAGTCTGTCTCTCTCTCTCTGTTTCCACTCTCTTGCAATGTCAGACACCACCAGATGGACTTTGGATTTCCCAGCCTCAGAAACTGTAAGCAAATAAATTTCGTTTTTCTGTATAAATCACCCAGTTTCAGGTATTTTGTTATAAGCAACACAAAACAGACTAATACACCTATGAAGAACAGTATATAAGCTTCTGCACCTCACTGGGTTATTGAGCAATCACTTTCTTGCCATTCCCCCAGGCATTGCCCTCTCTCAGCAAGTTAGCATAAAATTTGTTATGCCTCTTTTTCTATTAAAAACAAAAAACAATCAGGGCTCTTCTAGGTGGGGAGAGACATGAGGCAGAGTGCACGAGAGGGCAGGGCACTTGGCAGGCACTGAGGACCTGGAGTGGTCTGAGATGAAGCTAAAAAGGTATGGCAGAAGTGGGTGAGGAAGAGGCTTGAATTTATAGAGTTCACCTTGTAGACAATGAGGAGTTACAGAAATTTTCAGGTTGGGGTTTTCAGGAGCTATCTGGGTAACATACACTCCATATTGACACAGGGACTGGCAACCTGATGTAACCCAACGCATCCTGACATCTGCTGGACCCCAGCAGCACCAGCCTCAGCAGCCTGGGCACTTACCCCGCTGGTGCAGCTGAGCAAAGGGCTGGAAGTGCCGGGCATAGCTGAGGGCCTCCAGCTGCTTCTCAGGGCCACCCATCAGGAGGCGGATGAAGTGCAATCGGTGCAGCTTAAACTCCAGGGAGCTGTTGAGCTCCAGCAGGCGCTGCCTGTGGGAGATGGCCCATCTGGGAAGAAAGGGGCCAGTTTAGTGTGGAGCTGTGGAGGATTAGAAAAGGGGCTCTGGCAGAGCCAGGACCTGAGAGGAGGACTCCAAAAGCCTGTGTGAGGCCACAGCTTGGGGCATATCAAGTACATTTGGGTGAAATGAAGACCACAGACAAGCCCTGTGCCCTGAGAGGTTGGGGCACAGTGGCCACCGGCCCAGTGCCCCCGGCCCACCCAAGGGCCTCCTTACTCCAATGCAGGCCCCAGGTCTTGTTCATGCAGAGCTTCCAGGATTCGATTCAATTCCAGGAAAGGCTGTTTGAAATCCAAGTCCACATTCAGTGTTGATTCCTGTGGGGAGAGAGAGAGATCCCACCACTGGAAGGCAGTGTTTCCAAAATTCTCTGTCAGGCAATAATAATAAAACCTCATCTGCCAAAAACAGGCTGGAAGGAGCCGGGATTTGCATGAGGAGCCATGGTCTCCTGCCAGCTGCTTGTTCCTATTTCAGTTCTGGGAGGCTGAGTGAGACATGCTGACCTCCCAGAATGCAGAATGCAGACTGCAAACCTCACCCCATCACTGGAGTACTAGAGACAGCCCCCAGGCCTAGCACTGAGTAGCACGGTGAGAAAATTATTCCTTTTCAATCCTCCTAATTACATTAAGGGAAAATATACTTTACTTTTTACTGCCCGAGTGTCTTTAACACCTAGCAAGTACTACTTTGTCATTTCACCAATCTCCCTTTTTAATAAAGGGATATCAGGTCTCAGGTCAGAACCATGGCTGGAAATCAGCTCTAACTAGAAATTAGTAACTTTACTTTTCATCATATGTTTTCAGAACTACCTCTATTTATGGCAGGGGGACTGACTGCCTTTCTAGAATAAATTTATTTAAAGAATGGCAGGGACTCAAAAGAAAGAAAACTATCAGATAAAAAGGAGAACAGGCAGGTCCTCTCAGCACCTTCCTGTTACCTGGCATAGCTCCTCGGCGACACTGAGCATGCCCTGCTGGTAGAGGTGCTCCACAATGGCCATCTGCAGGATCTGCTGCTGCTTCTCCCGGGAGTCCCATACTGCGTCCGAGACTACACCACAAATCTCAGAGTCAAAGTTCTGACAAGGAGGAGAGAAAGGGCCCTGTGACTTGGGCACTCATACTTGCTCTTCTGCCAAGCCCTGTACACACTAGCTCCAGAGTATTCCCACCCACAGGCCTGGGGCTGCCCACACGCTCACCCTATCAATGGCTTTGCCCACTCGGGACACGCTGCTGTGAATGTCCTTGTGGTCTGAAGCCAGTTTCTGCACAGTGTCTTTGATCTTTCGGCAGCACTGGGACATCACCAGGGAGAGAGTAGCTGAGAGAGGGGTCCCCTGGAGGGCTGCAGAAAAACAGTGGAATGAGTAGGACACAGACCCTGTATTTGCTCCCTGTATTCTAAATGCCAGCCTGGTAGACCAGGAGGCAGACCTAAACTCCAGAGAGAACTGCCTAGCTTCTATTCCAGATCCTGCCACTTTTTAACTGAATGACTTGGTTCAATCTAGTCAAGTGGGACAAGTCAGTTTATATCTCAGAGCCTTCATTTCCTCATCTGTAATATTGTAGGTTGCTGTGAAATGAAGATGTTTGGCACTTAATGTATGTTAAGTAATTTATTTTAGCTTATCTACTACATCACACACAATTGTGTATTTGACTGTCAAGTTAAACAGTTACCATATGACCCAGCAATTCCATTCCTAGGTACATACCCAAGAAAAATGAAAACATATGTCCACACATTATTCATAGTAGCTAAAGGGTGGAAAAAACCCAAATGTCCATCATATAATGGATATGTAAAATATGGATATTCATACAATGGAATATTATTCAGCCATAAAAAGGAATGAAGTACTCATACATGCTACAACAGGGGTGAACCTTCCAAACATTATGCTAATGAAAGCCAGACACAAAACACCACATATTGTATGATTCCATTTATATGAAGTGCCCTGAATAGTAAATTTATAGAGATAAAAAGATTAGTGGTTGCCAGGGACTGTAGGAAGGGAGGAATGTCCTGACTGTTAAAGGGTTGGGTTTCTTTTGGGGGTGATGAAAATATTCTGAAATTATTATTTTTTTGGTGGCTGGTCCGTATGGGATCCGAACCCTTGACCTTGGTGTTATCAAATAAGATAACCAGCTAGGCACCCTCCACCTTTTGAAATTTGATAGTGAGATTGCACAACTCCATAAATATACTAAAAACCACTGAATTATATACTTTAAAAATGTGAATCTAATGGTATGTGAATTATAGCTCAAATTAAAAAAAAAAAAAGACATAGGAACCAGAGAGTCCTCTGGTCAAATCTAAGACAATTTGAACATTAAAATAAGTAACAGTAATAGATTATAACCCATTGAATAAAATAAGAATCTGTATGAGTGTGAACTGATAATAAAGGAGAAGGGGAATCTTCTTCTTTACAGCTGAATGCCAACCAATAAATGTATAAAGAATGATACAGCAGGAAAAATCACCCATGTTGCAACCATTTTAGTAATAATTGATTCAGGAAACAATCATCTATGGAAGCCAAAACTAGTGGGCTGAAGTTTGATGAAGAGCAGGACATTTATACAGTCTCAAAGTATCTTCCTACAAACTACTTGTTAATTAATTACAAAGAAAAAATTAGGAACTTTACAGTGGAGGAACCTGGCAGACGGCATCTTAACCAAGTGTGTAAAGTGAACATAACTAATAATGGATGAACTGATGTCTCATGCCTCCCAATGTGATGCACAGAGAAGCACATAGCTTCCAAAGTACTCCTGCCAAAAATGCAAACCCTGAATGATGAGGAAACATCAGACAAATCCAGACTGAAAGACGTTATGCAAAATGACTGTCGTTAATGCTTCCAAAATGTCAATGTCAGGCTGGGCCGGCCCGGTGGCGCACTGGGTAGTGCGCCGCTTGGGAAGCGCAGCGGCGCTCCCGTCCGAGGGTTCGGATCCCACATACAGACCGGCTCCCGCTCACTGGCTGAGCGAGGCGCGGGAGCAACACCGAGGCTTGCGATCCCGTTGCCGGTCCCCGGTCCGGTACGGGGGCAACACTGAGGGTTGCGATCCGTTGCCGGACACGGAAAAAAGACAAAAAAAAAAATGTCAATGTCAGGAAAGATAAAGGAAGGCAGAGGAAATGTTCCAGATTTAAAAAACTAAAGAGTAGAAAGAAACTAAATGCAGTGGATGACCTTGGATTGGATCCTGGACTGGAAAATAAAATGCTTTATGCAAATTTCTGAAACAATGGCAAAAGAGAAATGTGAACTATAGTCATTAGGTGATAATATTATATCAGTTTCATTTCTTGTTCTTAATAATTACTCTGTATTTGCATAAGTGAATGCCTTTGATCTTAGGAAATACACACTGAACATTGATGGGCAAAGGGGGCTGCAATATCTGCAATTTATTTTCAAATGGTTAAAAAGTAATAATATGCAATAAAATGATAAAGCAAATATGGCAACACATTAGCAGCTGGTGAAGCTGGGTGAAGGGTATATGAGTTCTGTAAACTATTTTGGAACTTTCCTGTAAATTTGAAATTATCTTAACACCTGAAAAGTTGAAAAGAGAAAAGCAAATTAAAAATAAAATATAAATGGAAATAATCTCAGATAAATGAACAATTTTTATTGGGCTTTTTGAAATAGCTCAGAAACTGCATACCCTTCTTCAAGGAGGCCTAGAGATGCATGTACCAATGTCCAAATCATCATCTTTCTGGAAGCCTGTCACCAAGTAACCTCGGGTCTCCCATGTCCAAGGGAGGCTGGCGTGGGGCTCTCAGCAGGGAGTGGACACCTACCTGCGCTGGCCAGCTCAGCCCGTAGCTGGCCCACATAGTGCAGCAGCTCTTCCAGGCTCTGCTCGCAGTGCTGGCCATAGGTAAGGAACTTTTGCAGCACCTTGTCCAGCTCTCTCTCCACGCATGCACACTGCTCCATGGCGGCCTCTGCCTGGGGAGGGTCGGTTAGGTCAGGTCCCATCTGGGCTCCCCAACCATTTCTCCAGATCCCTCTCCCCATTGCCATATATATCAATGCTCAGAAATTCACTGCTTAACTTAAAATATCTGTCCACAGCTTCTGTCTTCCCCAGCTGGGATACCCAGTGGAGGATGCAGGCTGATCTAAGGACAGGGGTCTTTTGAATCATGGTGAGAAAATTACTGCATTTTCAACTCTTTTCATTCTATTATCTTTGTTCATCTCCCTTTTTTTTTTTTTTTTTTTTTTTAAAAAGATGACCGGTAAGGGGATCTTAACCCTTGACTTGGTGTTGTCAGCACCACACTCACCCAGTGAGCGAACCGGCCATCCCTATATGGGATCCGAACCCGTGGCCCTGGTGCTATCAGCACCGCACTCTCCCGAGTGAGCCACAGGCCGGCCCGTTCATCTCCCTTTTAATCAAAACAGAGAGCAGGCCTTGCAGAGCCCTCAGCAGGCAACACTATCTAACTAGAAATCCATATACTGCATATTGTCATATTTCATGGATTTTTCATATATTCATTATGGCCACCTTCTCTTACTGTTAGTGGAACTGGTTTTCCGTGTACTGTAGTGATATAAGCCAGGAAGGAAGTCCTTGAATGGCTGATATTTGGAAATGCAGCCTAGGGAATGAATGCCAACCATGTTGACTGATGGGCTTTGCCCACCACTCCAGCCTCAGCCTCTCCCGCTGCTCATCCATGGACAAGCACCTTGTGTCCAGCCAGCCTGAACCCTTGCGCTCTCACAGCTCCAATGCCCTGGTACATATTGCTTCCTCTCCCTGGTCTGCTATCACCCCTCACCTCAACTGCTTCAGAAACTGGCCCTTCCTTCCCAAGTTAGTTCAGATGTCATCTCCTTTAGCAGCTGTCCCTAGCCTGCGCCCCCTGGCTCCCTCTACTCTCACTTTGCACCCTCCTTTTCAGTTTTGATCATTAGGTAATGATTTGTCTGAGGGCCTGCCTCCACCACCAGACTAGAACTTCTCTTGTGTAACACAAACTTTCAGCCTCCTTATATCCCTGAAAGAAAATTGACTTTCTTTGTCCCACCTTCCCTACCATTCAGGCCCCCTTCCAAGTCCTTTCCACCCTGTGCCACTGTCCGCTCTATTTCAGAGCAGCCTTTGACACTAAACATATAGACAATCTTCAAAATGTTGGTGCAGAGTCTATTTCCCTTTCCATCCTTCCACCTACAGGATTTGAAATGAGAGGGCTGTCATATGTCCCACCAAAACATTCAAATCTAGCCAGTTGTCCATTCTCTCAAAGAAGCGTACAGAGTAACAATATAAAGAGAATCTTGTGTCAGAAGTGACCATTGGGAACTTCTCAGTTTCACCAGACTCTGTTTCCCATTCCTACCAGCACCAACACTCCTGGCCCTACCATCTTTGCCTCCCTGTGGCAACTGTCTCCTTACTAAACAGGGAACAAGTGACAGGGAACTGGCACCCAGGGCCGAGGGATGTGTTTATGCCCTCACTCCTTATGGCTGATGCTATTACACTAGAATTTGTAATTATGGTGTCCAGAAGATGTGCTCTCCCTACCATCCCCAAACACCCTATAACTGGATATGACACATGGGCAAAATATAACATGGACAACTGTCTAAAATGATACTGTAATTATTATTGTTATTGCTATTATTAATAGCTAACATTTCATAGGGGCTTATTATGTGCCAGGCACTGTTCTAATGACTTTGCATGCATTAATTCATTTACTTAATTCTCACGAAAACACTACAAGATAAGCACAATTTTTTTTTTTTTTTTTTGCAGTTGACCCGTGCAGGTCAACCCTTGACCTTGATGTTATAACATCATGCTCTAACCAACTGAGCTAACTGGCCTGCCCTGGCACAATTATTAGACCCACTTTGCAGATGAGAAAATGAGAAAAAGAAAGATTAAATAAGTTGCCCCAGGTCATGCAGCTGGGAAGTGGAGGAGCTGAGAACTGAAGCCAAGCAAGCAGTCTGGCTCTAGGCTTCAGAGCCCTTATTAAGTACATTGCATTACAAGTACTCTCAAGACCAGCTTAACAGGCCACTATTTCACCAGGAAAGGAAAGCAGAAAATTTCTGTCGTTGGGATAACTGTACAGCAACCAGTAGTCATGACAAGAAACACGAAATTGACCACAGGTTCTGTGAGAAGAATCAAGTAGGGAAGATGGCAGCACAAAAGAATGTTTGCAAGAGTGTCTGGAAACCAGATCACAATTTACCAAAAATAAACATGGTTCAAGAAAGATCAGGACCTCAACAAGTTCAAATAGTCTAGCCCTCTCAGACACCAACAGATACCAGGCTTATGAAAGGGAAATGCGAGTCAGCATCTTGATATCGTATTTAAAAAGCTGAGGAAGGAGATGGGTGCAAGATTTTCACCCCAGTACTGTTTGTTGTGGCAAGGAGTTGGAAACAATCTGGGGACCTACATAGAGGAATCAATAAGTCAAGTAAGTACAATGTGGGGGATGCACCTATGGAAACCTGTGTAGAATTTTAGAAACTGTGTTCCAAATATAGCCACACAACATCTGTAAGATCCCAAAACATGGTATGGAAGAGGAAAAAAAGAAAGAAAATGAAGTCTAGGCAGAATGTGAATTAAAATTATATGCATACAAAGAAAGAAAAAAGAAACAAAAAATATGCATACAACCCCCCAAATAAAAGGACATACATCAAACACATCAGAGAGGTTTCCCAAGGTGGAGAGGAGGAATGGGGGGAAAAGGGAATACGTAAATAAATACAAAGGAGAAATAAATAAACACAAAGGCCTTGTATGGACCAAATAAAGGTACCAAAGCTGAGAAGTATGATTAACTCAAAAAATGTAAAAATAAAATAAATGAACTGGAAAAATAGAAACGTTTGTGGGTATTCCACCCAGAAAACCCAGGCGGCTATTCAGAGAAGCTCTCCTAGACCACAGTATTTAACACTGATCCCTCTGTCCCTCCCTCACGCCAGTCACCCTATCATATCACCCTGTTCCTTTCCTTCACTGCACATTCCTATGTGAGATTTGACAACTTTTCTCATTAACCAAAACTGGAGGAGGAAAAAACCCACCATTTTCCCTAGACAGTAGTCTCTACTGGGAGTTTCATCTGCATTAACATGCAAACGACTGGCAAACTCCTACTCATCCTTCAAAAAGATTTATATCCTTCGCTTATAAATGAAGAAAACTGCTCAAATGCCATGCCGGGCCCCGGGTCAGCACCTGGTTACCTCCGACCCAGCCGCGTCGAACTAGGATGAGACTTCTTAGTCCGAGCGACGCCCCCGGCTGAGGCGGCTGTTGGAGGGCGGGACCCGGGTCCTATGAGTCTGTGGGACTCCAGCTCCTGGCCCGGGGCCGACGACTACGAAGAGAACAAGCCCAGGGGCGGATCGGCGTGAGGGAGCCCACCCGCTCCCACCTAGTCCAGCAACCCCGGCCCCGGCTTCCGGAGCCGCCGTCATCGGAACCGGAAGTCGCGGCGCTTGTCGCACGAGTACGGACTCGCCCACTCGCGGTTTTGCGGAGGGGTGGCCGTCCAGCGAGCCCGCGTCTTTCCGCCTGAGCGCCGAGCCCTTCCCCTCCCGCGCGCGTCAAGAGTGGAGTCGCCCACAGGAGTGGGGAGGTGGCGGAGGGAGCTGTGCCGCCGAACGACCCCCAGGCGCCCAGTCCAGCCTGCCGGGCCCAGCCTCCCAGTTGGCGGGAAGGAATCGGATCGAACCACTCGCTCGCAGGCTGAGGCGCGCCTCGGTGCCATCGCTGCGACTCCGCACTCTGAAGCCCCAAACCGCAAATGCTGATGCCTGCCTGCCCCGCACCCCGCCCTAATTCAAAGTAAAGACTATACCGCACAGGACTGTGCATGTAAGGGGTCCAACAGTTAGGCTTCTTCCGCCATGGGTCCGCGATGCTCTTTTCAAATACCAAGTGATGCTTAAAAGTCCTTTTTTTTTTTTTTTTTTTTTTTTTTTTTTTTTTTTTTTGTATACCCTAGCCTCGCTGGTCCCCTAAGCCCCTACTTAATCTGTTCACTGGGTAGGAGAATTAGATTCTGCTGGGGGTCGGGGGAACACGCAGTCCCTGCCCTGCCACCCTCCATTGGTCGGTCGCTCTTCTTGGCGGGGGGTGGGGGGTTGCATATCTGCCCTAAAGAGGAAGAGTGAGGGTTAGAAAGGAGAGTGGAGGCGGTGACCCCAAGCCCAAGCCCGGACTGAATTTACGATCCTTACAGGCTCCCTTGCTCTGGAGGGAAGGGGTAGAGAAGCCCCCATACTTCCCTCCACAGGCCTCAGAGACTTGGACTAGAAACAGCCCAAGAGAAAAGGCTCAGTTTCTGTTTCCCGACTTCCTGCTCCCTTTTCGGGCGGTCTCATTCCAGGGCACCCTCCCCTCGAACGCTCCACGCCTTTCCTCCCCCCACTCCACCCACAACACCCTTGCACAATCTTGTTTTGTTTTCTTTACAGCACTTGCACAATCCAGCTTTGTTTTTTTAATAGCATTTGACTTGAAATTATATTGCGTGTTTATTTTTATGTCTCCTGGCCCCTAACCCCGCTTCCCTCACTTCTGGGATAAAAGCTCCATTGGGGAGATTTTGGAACACAGTAGGTGCTCAAAGATGCTCTGAGAAGCCGGTATCTTCCGCTTATAAATGAAGAAACCGCGGCTCAAAAGCCTTATAACACACACACACACACACACACACACAACCTTATAAAACATTGCAGGGAAGAGCGCTGCGCACAGCCGGACGGTGAGCCCGCGGGCGTCTGGACCGAGCGTCCCGGAGGAGCCAGTCCCTGCGCCGGAAGCCTGGGTGGTCCCGCCCCACGCGCAAGCCGCGGGGGCGGACAGCTGCATGAACCTTGCCTGGGGACAAGCCAAGCGGACAGGACCTCACAGGCTTTCGAGAACGCCCCAGGCTTCCCCACTTCCTCTCCAGGAGCACCAGCCTTCCTCACAGAGAACTGGTCATGAACAAAGCCTGGCTTCTCCAAAAACTTTGAACGCGCCGCGCACGCATCAGGCCATTTCACCTTTGTCTATCATTCTCTTCCCCAGTATGGGGCTATCTTTGCATTACTCTGGGTACTGTTACTTTTCAGTGTGCGCAAAGTTTTATTACATAGTTGATTTTGTCAGTTTTTCCTCATTGGGATTGTGTTTTTGTTTTGTTTTTTTTTGTTGGGGGTGGGGATTACTTCAAAGCAGAGAAGTTTAGCTGCTCTCCACTAATTCAGTAATAATCTATGTAACTTGTTGCCATTGTGGGGGAGTTTTGAATTTTCCCTCTATTCTCTTAAAGTTAGATAATGAGTGTTTGGAATAAACTTAACAGTAGACAGATTAACAGGAGGAAAGGCATACAAATTTATCACATCCATGTGCACAGGAGTCCCACAAAATATGAGGCTCAAAGAAGGGCCTGGGCTAGCTGGTTAGCTCAGTTGGTTAGAGGGCGGTATTCTAACACCCAGGTCAAGGGTTCGGATGCCCACGCCGGCAAGCCGCCAATATATATATGTATCTTCAACCATCTTGCCGTGTGTGTGTGTGTGTGTGTGTGTGTGTTTTTATTTTATTTTATGTATATATACACATACAGGGCAAGATGGTTGAAACCTGTTAAATAAAAATTATAGGAGGCCATTGTTTTGGACTAACTTCCTGCACTAGGCCCCAAAAGACCGTACTAAAGATCAAAATGGAGTCATTTCTGCTAAATTCTATGTTACTTAAGCTGTGGTCTGACCTTCCCAGGGAGTCAGGAAGAAGATAACAGCAATTTCCCAAACAGGCCAGTTTAAATCTTCAGTAGGTATGATAATGAAGTTCCCCCTGCTTTAGTCCTTACACAAAAGAGATAGCCTGAGGTAACCTGATGTTTTTCTATTGTTCTGTCTTCCTGTCCCCACTTTACAAGGACAGTAATTTTGAAATAACCAATCCACTTTTTGTTCTTTGTTTCTGTTTTCTTTAGCCTTTTTCCTATCTATAAAACCAACCTCCTGAGCTGGCCGCTTAGCTCAGTAGGTTACACCACAGCGTTATCATCTTATTATCTTATGGGTTCAGATCCTCAAACCAGCCCTCTCTACCAGCTGCGCCCCCCAACCTCCTCTGCTTGGCTCATGTGATCACTTACTCTATTTTATAGAATAAAGTGCTGCCTATTCTAGAATAGTAATAAAGCCAATTGAGATCTTCAACTAAATATGTTGCAATTTTGTTCTTTGACAAGCCAAAATAGCATTTTGAGCTACAAAGAGATATAGGGACTTGGAGTTTCTGGGCGGAAGTGTTGACTGGTTGAGGGAGGTTTAGGGGAGGGGAAAAAAAAAGGTTGTCTTGTTATGCAGATAAAGTTTCTCAGGTAGAAGTCCTCAGAATAGGGTATCGACCTTTAGTCTCCTTCCCTGTGAATCTGATGGGATTACAGGTATGGGGCTCCAGACAACTGTGTTCTTTCTTTGAACTTCCCTTAGTCACATAAAGGAACTTCAGAGAAGGAGAAGTCAGAAAGACCTTGATTCTCGGGCCGGCCCGGTGGCGCAATGGAGAGTGCACTGCTTGGGAACACAGCGGCGCTCCCGCCGAGGGTTCGGATCCCTTGTGGAGACCGGTAACACCGAGGGTTGCGATTCCGTTGCCGGTCAGTAAAAAAAGACAAAAAGGAAAAATAAAAATAATAAAAAAAAGAAAGACCTTGATTCTCTAGTTCAAAGCACTCAGCTTGCCAAATTCTCATACTTTGGGGTATCGTCTTCTGGACGCCAGCATCAATTTCTCAGGATATGATTTTTAAAATTTAACTCAATAAATGTCCATTTTATTTTGGCAGGGGTGGTACAAAGTATGACATTTTTTCCCCAAATTTTTGTCCAGTTATCCCACCACCTCTTGTTAAATAATCCTTCCTTACTCTTTCATTTTGAAGTTCTTTATACTGTAAGATTTTCTTTGGAATGGAATCTATTTCTGGCTTTTCATTCTTTCCACTGAGTTGTATATTTATTTTTACACCAATGTCATATTGTTTCTCTTGCTACTTTGTAATATGTTCTAATATTACATGTTAGAGTGAAAGGACTAAACACTGCTTACAAAAAGGAAAAAAAAGAAAAAACACAAGGTTATTGAGGAAGCAGATCAAGAGGGGTTGACTTCTGAGGCGCATGGGAATTTTGGGAAAATATGGGGCTGTATTCTGTATCTTGATTGTAAGGTTGGTTATACAATTCTGCATTTGTCAGAACTCTAAAAACTGTACTGTAGAGTGGGTACAGTATGTAATATATGTAGAGTATGTCTTAAAAATGGGGGTGGGGGGACAGGCACACAAAGAGCACTATATATCTTAAAATAGCAAAATGAGGTTCTTGAACAGAGAGGACAAATCCTCCAAAGTCAAGTGCTCACCTGAAAATACAACTTTCTGGGCTGGCCTGTGGCTCTTTAAAAAAAAAAAAAAAGAAAGGAAATACAACTTTCATCACCTCCCAGAGTAGGTCCTGGAGGGCTGAACTGAAAAAGATGGACCATCCTTGATAGCTGGTGGGGATGGGGGCTGCAGTACTGCCTGCCCTCCCAAGAGCACCAGGGCTCGGCCCAGGGCAGCCAGAGCTCCTCCCCAGCCAGGCCCAGGACCTGTTCAGGCTCTAATATCTTGCTTCCCCACTGCAGGTGACTCTAGAACAGTTCCCTGTCTCCTCTTGTCGGAGTGAGCAGGACTGAAACAATGTTGGGATCTAAAACCACCTGGGCTTCAGGAGATGTCAAAAGACACGTTTTTTCTTAGCATGCATTTCTCTGAGTTCCCTCTTTTCCCATGGTTATGATACTTTGAACCTTGGTTATGGGGCAAGATGACATTATTTGTGTAAATGTAAAGTTGTTTTCCAGTTAGCTTGGAGCTGCAGACTTACAATGACTATCTAGATCTTGAGAAACCAAGGAAGACATCAGTAAAGCTGTGCTGATTGCACCCCTCCAGCAGGACCCTAAGAAAACACCAAGGACAGGAACAGAAACCAGACTTGGTGAGACCTTGCACCTGGCTCCTTGCACGGAGCCCCCACAGCTCACATCCCCCTCCCTCCTGCTTTTCACTTTCTATGTTCCATTCCCTCAATTTCCTCTTTAAGAAACCCTCAGTAGGCTGGCTGCTTAGCTCAGTTGGTTAGAGTACCACCTTCTAACATGAAGGTCTAGGGTTCGGATCCCCATACTGGCCAGCTGCTTTTAAAAAAAAAAAAGAAGAAGAAAAAGAAAACCCTTAGTAAATGAGTCTTTGAAATGGTTTTAGTCTGGCCATTCTCCGGTATTTCTGAATTAAAGCTGACTTCCATTTTCACCAGCATGTGACTTTTGAGTTGTTTGTTTTTGTTTGGGGCAGGCAGCCATGGTAACAAGATTTTGACAAGCCTAAGCCTGGAGCTGAATGCCCTGGGATAACAGATTTTGCCCCAAGCGAGGGTTTTTGTTTGGGGAAGGCAGCCAGACTTGGGCCCAGGAACAGTCTCCCTGTTCCTGTCCCTCCTTGCAAGTCTTTGGGTCAGGCCAGGACCACCTACATATTTTGCAGGGCCCAGAGCAAAATGAAAATGTAAGGCCACTTGTTCAGATATTCTTAAGAAATTCGGGATGGTGACAGCAGAGCATTACATCAAGTGCAGGGCCCTGGTGAGCGTGGGACCCTGTATGATCACACAGGTTATGTACACATAAGCTGATCCTAGTTCTGACCCCTCCCCTTTGCTGCTTCATGGACTCCTCTGCCAACTTACCAGGCTGTGCAGGATCTGCCTTGCCCCACTTTCAGAGAGGACTGTCCCTGGGAACTGCGCCACGCTTCCCTGTGTCCAAGTCTAGATCCATCTGAAATGCTTTCACCTCACACTGTGGGCAGCTCTGCCATCCCCTCCTCAAGGAAGCTTACCCCTTCACCCCACCACCTCTATTGACACATGAGCCAGCTCGCCTCTGAACTCCCACGACACTCGAGCCTCACCTGTTGTGACATACATCACTTTTGTTTTTGTTGCAAGAAACATCCCATTCTTATTCTTTTTGGAATCCAATATAAGGGGCCAGCCCATGGCTCACTCGGGAGAGTGCGGTGCTGATAACACCAAGGCCACGGGTTCGGATCCCATATAGGGATGGCTGGTTGCTCACTGGGTGAACGTGGTGCTGACAACACCAAGTCAAGGGTTAAGATCCCCTTACCAGTCATCTTAAAAAAAAAAAAAAAAAAAAAAAAAGGAATCCAATATAGAGGCTAAGCCTCCACCCACTAGGATGGTAGGTTGTCTATCTGAATCGTCCCTATGGGGCATGAACCTACTTTGGAGAAAGGTTCCATACCTACATCCCCCGTCTTAGAGAAATTTACTGTCATGCTCCCAGATAGGATCCCTCTGTCCTCTCCACGGTCTGCTGACCCAAGGCCATTGTGGAAGCCCCTCTGCTTTCCCCAGGTCTGTATGTTAGAGCTCTTTTGGATTCTCCTGTTTTCTTCATCTCCTGCCTGGCCCCCATCGCTAACTGGAATGACCTTCCATATGTGGACATGTGTGTTGCCTCCCTCCCCCACTCATGGGTAAGTGGGCCTTGGCCACCTTGGCTTCCTCACTCGAGAACCACACCTGGCCCTGAAGGAGAACCTTAATACATCACTGTCAAACGAATGGCACTGGTTCTGGAGCCCACGTGCTTGGCACAGACCTGGCACAAAGCAGGTACCCATGAATGGTAAATGAACATTCAGAGTTGGAGCCTTACGCCAACTCAAACCCATCCTATTCAGGGCAGGGGTGTAGTCACTCTTGACTCCACATCTCCCCAGTGCCCTCTGGGGCTGGAGCCAGAGCAGGTTTGGGGATGAAAACGAAACAAACCACCCTGCCCTGGCAATGCCCACAGCCCAACGCAGACAGAAGCAAACCAACAATTACAGCAGTGTGGAAAGGGGATGGAGATGCACAGGCACTGTGGGCACAGGGAGGGAGTGCCCAGGCAGGGGAGGGGGTGAGTTCTGGGAAAGCTTCCCTGAGGAGGCAGAATCTGAGGACCGGACCCTGAGGGGGCTGTGCTTTAGAGGATGGGGGCTCAGAGGAATATGAAGAGCTGCTGAAGTTGGAAGAGGGCACCCTATCAGTGATCCTGGAGGACAGAGTGTCAGAGACCCCAAGTGACAGGTGAAGGGGCCCAGAGAGCTACTGGAAGGTATGACATTATCTGAGTAAACAGGAGACTAGAGACAGGGGGCCCTAGGCCCTATACGGGGAGCTCACCACATTTCTGGGCAGAACTGTCTGCCTGGACCTAGTCTGCTGGGGGAGGGGACTGCAGGGCAAGGTCAGGCAAGAGCAGCTGGGGAGCTGAGGGGCAGCCAGGAACAGGAGGGAGGAGCTGCCCTGAAGCAGTAGCCACCACAGTGACACCTGTGATCAGCTGGCCCCAGAGCCACCCAGCCGGCTTGGGGACCTGGGAACTGGTTTGCCCAGCATGGATGAGCTAATAGGGATCTGGTTCCCTCTGAGACGCCTCAGCTTCAGCTCTCCTGAGCCCTCTCTCTACATCTGGGCCTGGCCTTGGTTTCTGGCACAGCTGCCAAGTTTTGGTACCGCCCACCCACTCCCTGCTGGCTGTACTGGCCGGCCCAGCTCCCTAATTGCTGGGTGGGGAGCTGTTCTGCAGAGCTGGTACACCAAAAGGTAGACCCTGGGCACATGGGTACCTGGTCTGACCAGCTCCTGGCCACAGGGAGGAAGTGATCCAGACTTCAGGCCAGCACCTGGCTCTGGCGGGGAGGTCCTCTGGAGGGGCCATTAGCTAAGAGACATTGGTTTGGAGGGGCTATGAAATGGGAATGGTAGGTACCAAGGTTTGTGGTGACTGGCCAACCTAAGCCTGGTACTCCTCCTCTCCCTCCAAGGCAGGGGACCCAAGCTCAGGTGTGAGCCTAGATGGGTCTCAGCTAGGCCAGGGGTCTGTCTGGGACCCAGGCTCCACCCATACCTGCTCAGTTCTAAGAGGGATTGGGGCTTGGTGGGAAGGAATGGGGCAGAGGGAGGAGCCAGGAAACTGCCTTCCTGGCCTCCAATCTAGGAGCTGGCTTTTGGAGGCCCCAAACACACCCCCTAGGACACACCCACAAGCTCTACACACACCTACTATTCACAGGGCCATAAACACACCATCCTCATGGCAAACAACTCACATGCCCCACTCTGCACTCTAAAAAGGCGGAGTCCACTAGCTCCCGCTCCACAGTCTACAACCAGCCAACCCTTATCCACAGCCCAGCACACAGACCTGCTGCTGGGTCTGAGGAGCTGCCAGGCACCACACAGGAGGACCGGAGCACAGCCAAAAGGAGGAACCTGGAGCTTTCTGCTACCTTTTGAGGCTCCCCGAGCTGCCCTAGCAGGAAAGGGACTGGAGCGCAGGTATCTCTGTGCTGGCCCCCCCCAGGTCAGGAAGCACATCTAACTTAATCTGTGCCCCCATGCCCACAAGGGCCCAACACAGCACCTGGCAGACTGTAAGCATCCAATGATGCATCCGTAAGGAAGCTGAGCTTTCCCTTGCATGAAGAAACACTACTGGCACGGCCAGACTGGGTCTGTGCTCCAGGCCACCCACTCAGGAGGGCAGCAAAGGCCCGGAAGGGAAGCCAGACCTCTGAGGCCAGGGGTGAGCGTGGGACCTGGGACCAGCCTTAGCTGAGAGCAGAGATCAACAGTCGTGGAACCTGGTGCAAGATGGAACGGGGTGGGGACTGCTTTCTCTTGGGAGAGAGCTTTCCAGAATACAAATCGATCAAAACTCATCCCGTGCTTGAAAATACCCCACAGTCCTCCATGGCTTCCAGGGAAATGTTCCCATTCTTGCTGTGGTGAATGCCCTCTACCATGTGACCTGCAAGTTTTCCCGGCCTCTCCTCTTGCACCTTCCTAGAGTCCCCCACCCCTACAGAGGGAACACACCAGAGCCAGACAGAAAAATAGGAGGTGGGTTCTGAGAGAGGCAGGACCCCACTGGAACCTTTGGATGCTTCAGGGGAAGTTGTCAGGCTGGCCCCAAACCCAGCAATGAACTGAACACCAGAGGCCCAGACTTCCTACCAAGAGAACATTTCATGTTCTCTAAAGGCTTTGGTTGACTTACCCTTTTGTTTTCCTGGAGTTCCCTAGTATTGTGCTTTCTGAAAAACCCACTGGTATTGAAGAAAGAAATTTCAGCCTACACGACAGTTAAGGAACTGTGGTGCTGGGGTAAGGAGGAAGATTCCTCACTCCCCAACACGCATGTCCGGCAGCTGAACAGTCAAGCGCAGGGCACACCCTCTCACCGACCATGACCAGGGGAGGAGCTACAGCCCAGGCTAGTGGCTCCCAACCTCAACCACCACTGATGCTCTGGATTCAGGCCAAGGAGAGGCTCAACATTATCACCAGGACCTCCTCAGAGAAAACGTGGTTTTATTCCGGAGGAGGCCACTGTTCCCATCTCAGCCTCCTTCCATCCAGTACGGCCTCAGCCCAGATCTCCCACCTCCCTCAGCCTGCCCTTCTGTATCATAGGGCTCTTTATTCCCCAACCTCCTTCCCTGGGCCACACCAACTCCAGGGAGCAGGGCTGGGCCCTGCCTGGTACTCCTCCGCCAGGAGGGCCTTGTCCTGGCTCCTGCCTCCAGCACCTTGTCCAGCCATGACCCCACTGGATCCCTCTTCTCGGCAGGCCTCTCCGTCCCTGGGCTGGTCTATGCAGATTCTGCCCCAGACCAGTGTAAGGGAGGAGCTGGTTGTCTCAGGGAGTCTTCTGACAGTGTTTCCGCTGTCAGCTCCCTCCACTGGCCTCAGATCTTGGAGGACTCCAGCCGAGGACTCCAGGGCGTGGGGGGCTCCTGCAGCGCTCTTAATTCCTGTTCCAGCGCCTGGTTGCGGCGGTACATGTCCATGTAGCCCCCCTGGATCTCCCGCTGGTAGCGCAGCACCCGCTCCTTCTCCTCCTGCCAAGTCCTCCGCTCCTGCTCGAAGCGTAGTGCCTGCTCCTGGCTCCGGAGCCGCTCTTGCAGCAGCTCAGCCCGCAGCTGCTCGGCACCTTCTCCAGCCTCACTACCTCCTGTTTCCCCCAGCAGCCCCCTGCTCTTGCAGTCATCAGTCTCACAGCTGCCTGGGGCTTCCTCCCGAGGGGCCTGTTCCTGTAGGCTGCGCACAGCTTCGCGCAGCCGGGCCAGCTCTGCGTCCTGGGCCTGGGCTTGTGCCCGGCTGGCCCGAAGTTGCGTCTTCAGGCTGAAGATCTCGGCCAGCTTCTGCGCCAGCTCCGACTGGGCTTCCCGCAGCTGCTGCTTCAAGAGGCTAATCTCCGCTGTCTTCTGGCACACCTGGGAGGGGGGAGCACAGAAGAGGGAACAGGATAAGAGCCAAGCAAAGCAGGGTATAGGGAGCTGGTTGGGGAGCAAGCAGAGGACGGGGATGGTAAAGCTTCTGAGCCCCTGGTCACATCTCACCTCCCATCGGGCTTCCTCCTCTGGTCGGGTGCTGGGATCACCCTCTGGGAGGGGGCCCGGGGGCCGAGGCTCGGGTGCCAGGCCCTGCTGGGCCCACAGCTCTTTGCGCAGGCGCCGCTGCTCCTGCTGAGCCATGAACAACTGCAGCTGGAGATTGCGCTCACTGCGTTCGGCCTTCTGGGCTACCTCGTGCAGCCGTTCCACGTACAGGCGCTTCAGTTCAGATAGCCACAGCCGCTGGCGCTCCTCTAGCATCTGCCAAGGGTAAGAGGCGTCTGATAGGGCCAGCATGGACTGTGCTCAGATATCCAAATGCGGCCCCGCCTCCTGGAGCAAGCCACCTGCACTCCCACAGCTCTCCACCTGCACCACCCAGCCATAGTTCCGGTCCTGTGCCCCAACATCACAAGGCCCAGGGCCCAGCCACACATGCACTTTAACTGGGGACGCCCCCCAGAGGTCAAGCGTCCTCAACACATGGCCCTCCCATGGAACATCTCTCTCTCCTTCCCATACAACTCCCAAGCAAGGACCACCAGTGACATGACATCCCTGCCAAGTGGGATGTGGGAGAGAGAAGAGACTTTCCTCTTTCTTATTCTCTTGTGCCCAGAGCCATTTGGTTGAACTGGCTGGGGCCCCTCTGTCTGGGCCATGTCCCAATGCCACGGGACAGCACAGGACCACAGGGCAGTAGCTCCCTCACCTGTGTGAAGGGGCTGGAGCTATCCTCGTCACTGAGGCTCCTCTTGAAGTCCTCACAGGTCTCGGGCAGCATTGCCACCACCTCTTCAGCAGTGGGGCAGGAGAATTCGTAGGGGGGCGGTGGCTCTGGCAGACAGCTCAGCACAGCCAGAGGTCCAGCCTCCTTGGGGCTCCGAGCAGCCCGGTCCAGGGAGCCCCCAAGGTGATTAATGTGGCCCACAGAGGAACTGAAGGGGTTGGGGCCGGTGCCAGGACTGCGGCCAAAACTGCCTCCACTGGAGGAGTCAGACAGGCTGGGCTCAGGCTCAGGGCCACCCTCATCCAGGCTGAGGGCGTGCAGCAGCTGTGCACGGGCCTGGCTGGCCTGGGGTCCTGGGCTCAGGGGCGGGTGGCAGGCCAGTGTGTGCAAGCTGCCATTGCTGCGCCACAGCTTCTGGCCCTTGTGGGCTGCCAGGCTCTGCATGGACAGGAAGGCTTTTCCAGTACCTGTTGCAGGCTTGAACACTGATGGACGAATGCGGCACTGCCAGGAAGAGAGGGCAAGAGTGAGGCCCCAGCTGACTGCTCTGCTCTACCCTCCCGATGCTCCCACAGCCCCTTTGAAAGCACGGGGCACATGCCACTAGCAGGCAGTGACCAAGCTTCAGGCCAGCCCATAGTAGGATTTTCACATCTCAGCCTGCCCTGTTCCCATCCCATCCCAGCATCAGGGTCTCCAATCTGCCATGCCATGTGAAGGGCACGGCGAGAGGCACACCTTGTCAAAGCGACCACGCTCAGGCAGCGAAGTCTTGCTGAAGTCACCGGCCCGAGGGTGTTCACGGTAGTAGAGGGTGGCATAGTCGGCTGGCTCATTCCGAGGGGCTCGCTTCGTGGCCTTGCCGTCCTTCTTGGGGAGGTGCAGGTAGCTGAGGAGCTCACGCTGGCCCAAACCCTTCCGGAGGAGCCCATCAGGCTGGCGGGAGCCCCGGGACCCGGCGAGTGCTGCCCGTAGCTCTTCAGGGGTGAAGTCCTGCCGTTCCAACAAGCTGCCCACGCTGCCCATGGCAATGCTAGCAGGGGCTGTGGCCATGAAGTTTCAACAGGGCACAGGCAGGTGCTTCTGGGAATTGGGAGGCTCCATCAGTGGCAGGTGGGCACTTGCTGCCCAACTCCCCTGATGCCCTAAAACCAGGTATTTGCTCTCTGTGTTAGCACCCTAACCTGGCCCAGGCTCAGGAGAGGCCAGCGTGGGTCCTTGGAGAGAATCCCAGGACTGGCAAAAGAAAGGAGTACAGGCCCCAAAGCCACCTGCCCATCTAACACTGTTGGCCAAATAAGTCTAAGGACAAGGGACTGGTGTTCTAGCTGGGGTGCCAAAGGGATAGCTCTAGCTAGGGGCCTGTGTGACATTCAAAGGTATGGGGGTGGGTCAGCAAAAGACAGGGGCCCTCCTCCCAGGACAGGGCCAGCAAAGGGCTAAAGAGGACAGGCTCAGGTTATCTGACCCCAACCTTGCTCAATCTCCTGCCAGACTCCCCAACAAATTTGTGGGGTGAGGAGGGGGCACGGCAAACCAGAGACAGTGGGACTCTATTCCTTCCCTTGGGAGAGGGATACCTCATTTCAGCCCCTCTTTCTGCAAAAGGTCAAAGCTCCCCAAGGGAAACATCTGGCATGGGTGGGGCTGGGGACTACAGTGGAAGGGATACAAACAGGAAGGGCCCAAGGGGAGGAAGGAAGGATGGCGTGAACAATGGCCACCATTTCCGGAACAGGTGTTCACGTCTGGGTAGTGGTGGGAGGCAGAGGGAAGGGGCAGCTGGACCCCTGCCAGCCCTTGCATATGCTGTTACTCCAAAGTCCCCCTCTGGGCCTTAAATCCTCAACTGGGTGGGGCCAATTAGTATGTGACCTCTAACCAAGCCACTAACCCTGTGAGCCTTGGCTTCTTCACGTTTATACCATGGCATTGATAACACTTATCACTCAGGTATGCTGGGAGGATGGGTGAGTTAACATGACAAAGCACCCAGTCCAGGGCCTGGCCTAAAGCTAGGGTCAACACAGGCTGACCCAAGCTGAGCTTAGTCAGACACATAAAGCCACCAAGTGCCCAGGGTATGTATGCACTATCTCCCACCTGTGCTACACCCCCCACTTGGGAGGGAGGGCACGACGTACCTGGTCCCCAATGGATCTGGTGCCCATCCCACAACAGGTGCTCAGAAAAGACCCATGGAATGGACAACTGCCACCTACTTTGCCTCCCACCCACCAGTGGCTGCTCCCATCCCCAGCAGATGCCCAGCAGGCAGGCTATGGCGGCGAGTCCCCCACCACCCACCCAATATGCTTCCGGGACACCTACTCCCACCCCAAACAATGGTTGTTAGGAGGCTCCATCTTCCTCAACCATTTCCAGGTTTTGTGTTTATAGAAGACAAAGCTCTCTAGAGTGGGAGGGAAGGTGGGGACCCGACCCCTCCTCCCCCACTCTACAGCCCCTCAGCCTCACCCAGGGCAAAAATAACCTTCTTAGCTCTTCCCTCCCAGCCCCCAGTCCTGAGATAGGGAGAGTCTGGGTTTGTACACACCAGCCCAGCCCCGTGTGAACAGGTCCAAACCCTTCTGGGGGTGTCAGTCTGCACATGCTCAGAGGACTCATCCAAGTAAGGAATCACGGATGCTGGGCTCCCGCAGTGATGTGGCCCCGCGAAGGGGTCTCACTGAGTCCTGTGACATAGTTACTGTCCCCCTTTTTTTTTTTCTTTTTGTCTTTCTTCGTGACCGGCAATGGGATCGCAACCCTCAGTTGTCGTGCCTGCACCGCGCTCAACCAGTGAGGGGACCAGTCTCTATATGGGATCTGAACTCGCGGCGGGAGCGCCGTGCTCCCAAGCACCGCACTCTACCGAGTGCGCCACCGGGCCGGCCCACTGTCCCCTTTTTAAGGTAAGGTCACTGGGGCTCAGAAAGGTAAACTGACTTGCCCAAGGTCACAGAACTTGTCAGGGTAAGGATGGCTGGGATCCCAAAGCCATAGCTGCCAATGTCTAGTAGGGACCCAGGATGTCATCACTCACAGCCAAAAGAATTGGAATTGGAGCATCTAGCCTGCCCCATCTGACACGCCTCACCAAGGCAAGCCCACCCAGCGAGACACCACTGGGTCCCAAAGTGCACTGAACTTCTGTCATTGCTTCTCAGGGAGGGGACAGCAGACAGCCTCGTCTCCAGCTTGCCCACATACCCCCTCTCTGCAGGACCTGGGAAACTAATGCAGTACCCTTCTCCATGCCTCAGTTTCTACCTCTCTGAAGTGGGGTTGACTCTGTCTGCCCTGTCTTCCTTATAAGGTGATTATGACATTAGAGAGACAATGGAGGTAAAAGGGCTTGTGGTAAATGGAGGTAAAAGGCAGTGTGGGCAGGGATGTTGGCAGTGGAGCTAAATACGCCCACCTCACCCCCCACACGCTGCCTCACCTTCCCTTGGGCAGATGCTCACTTCCTGTCTCTCTTCCAGGAGAGATAACTTGACACCTCATGTTTCCTATGAGGGGCCTCAGGTCCAGGGGAGAGTCCTTGAACTAGAGGTAGCCAGGGGCCACAACAGAGCATACAACTACACATTACACAGTGTGTTATGTGTCAGTCCCACCTAGGTTAGAGGACACGGTGCGGATGGACAATCATGTCCAACAGCAGACACAGTCATACAGTCATGCTCAAGGTCACCCACACAGCACTAAGTACCTTCCAGGATACACAGACATAACACAGGAACGACCCAGCATGAAGACCCAGGTGTCCTCCCCAGCTCCCAGGCCAGACACAGGTCCCAAGCATGTGCCTGAGCGTGTGCGCGTGTGTGTATTAATGGTGAGGGAAGTGCGGGACTGGCTACCAGCAACAGCTATGGAGCTTGTATGAAGGGAGCGCAGGCAGCCCCTTTCCTTTGCTTTTCTTTAGGCCCCCACCCTCCACCTTTTGCCCCTCCTGAGTAACTTCCCTGGCAGTATTATCAGCTCCCCCTCCAGTGCAGAGGACCCCAGCTTTCAGGAGGCTCCTCCCTGCGCAGGTCTCAGTCTGAGGACAGTCCCTTTTTCTAAAGGGGTCCGCCTCACCTCCACCCCCTCCCCAACACAAACATTCCTTCCTTCTTGTTGCCTGGAAGTCTGGGGACTGCCTGTGTCAGGCCAGGGCAGCTGTGCAGGCTGGGCCAGAGAGGATTTGGTGGGGGAGGAGAGACAAGTGCCTTGCAGCCTCACTGGGCCATGAGAGCAAAAAGCCAGGACTCCCTCCAAAGGCCTAGGCTTCCCTGCCTGCCTTGGGGCCCAGAGCTCTGCACAGAGCTGAAACCCCCTACCATCCGCTGGCTAGGTTTTGGTTGGGCCACTCAAGCACATTCTCTACAGGTCCCAGCTGGCCCCAACTGAGCTCCTTCACTCCTACTCCCCACATCCTCCCAAGCCAACCCCTCACTCCTGGCCCCCTAGATTAGTGTGGCATTAAAAGCCCTGAACACAGAAGGGTATCTCTTTTGGATCAACCCTTGGTGGAGACAGGAGAATGGGGCTGTCTGGGCTCAAAGCAGAGAAAGAGAGGACACACAGGGGGCGCATCTCAGCATCTGTTAGTTGGTAGTGGGTGCCCTATTGGGTCAGAGCCAGACACCGAGCACTATCACATCTCACAACATACACAGGAGGTGAGTAGCCAGCCCAAGAGGTGAAATAATGTGCCTAAGGTCATGTTCAGCTGCATAGGAGAAAGGTTTAGAAGCCTTCCCAGACCCCAGCTTACATCTCCTCTGGGGTGGGACAGCCCAACCCCCACAAGGGCAGGCTGTGGTTAGCCCCTCCTGAGCCCTGGCCCCGGGGGAGGGTCCCACCACCTGCTGGGGGATCAGCTCTGCTGAGGGGTGTGTCTGCAGCTGCCTTGAGGAATGGGACTGGAATGTCCCAGCTCCAAAAGAAGGGGCAGTGGGCAAGCGGGGCCCAGAGAAGAGACAGAGAGGCTGACATATGTTACCCCCACTGGGTGACACTTGAGAAGGCAGATCCCGGCAGCTAATCCCTGCAGGAGCGGTTCTTTTTATCACTATATAGTCATTTCACAGTTGCAGAGCACTCTACAGTTTTTCTCAGCCCTTCCACTACATTATCTCATTTCATCTCCACAACAGCCTTGTGGGGGCAGGCAGGACAGCAATTACCCTCTCTCCATTTTGGGGGGGGGATTGAACCTTGGACCCTCACTCCATTTTGCAGACAGGGAAACTGAGGCATAGAAAGAGGAAGTGAGTTATCCAAGATCCCAAGGTGAGGGCAATCTCAACTCCATCCATAAGGCCCTCTCTACTGCACTGGTTCCCCTCCATGGGCACTATCCAGCCCCCCATGCCTGTTTCTCCCAAGGGCATCTGCAGGGATGGCAGTCAGCTCAGCCTGGAATCCCTCTTGCCTGTTCCCTGGGTCAGGAATAATGGAAACGCTTGCTCGCATGAAGACTGAGGCGGTGGCGGGAGCAGGCTGGCCACATTCATTCACAGTCTGGCACATACACACCCACACACAGCCAGTAGGCAGAGGAGCCCTGTCTGGGAGAGCCCCGGGAGGAGGCTGATTACCGGGCCCAGGATTGCCTCCTGCCTCTGCTCCCTTCCCAGGATAGCCCGGCCCAATCCTGGGGTGGGGTGGGGGCTGTCCTGTGGGAGACGACGGGTCTCAGTTCTCTTTCTGGATACAGCCCTGATTTCGGTTTGACCCTAGGCTGTCCCTCACTTTAGCCAAAGGCTGTGGCCAGGATTGGAACGGTGCTCCGGCCACCAAGACGGAGGAGCAACCTATCCGCCGGACCGTAGCTGCAGCCCGGACCCTGCAGGGAGGTGCGGGAGGAAGTGGGTATTCAGGGAGGGGGCGGGAGACAGCAACCGAGAGGTCTCACGGGGAAGGCGGAGGGGCAGGCGCGATTGACATCCCCACGGAATCTCCCCACGGAATCTCCCCCCGGAAGGCAGTGGCAGAGGCGAGGTCTCCCCAGAACTGCAGGAAGTCCTCGAGCTACCTGAGGAGCCGGGGTGGGTTGAGGGGGTGGGCGTCTCCTCCCGGCTCCTCCCTGGGGCCTGCCCGGAGCGGCTGGGCGGGGGGCGGAGGCCGGGGGCAGATTCCCGCGCCAAGGACGTCTGCCCCACCCAGCCGTGGCGCTGGGGTCCCAGGCGAGGCTCCAAGGAAAGCGCGCTTGCAGGGTTTGCGGAGGAGCGTAACCTGCCGCCTGTCCCTCTAGCAGGGCGTCGGGGTCGGTCCCAGATCCTGCTCCTGGGTGCCCGGGAACGGGGGACATCTGGGCGCACACTGCACCCTGTCACTCCCGCCCACTTCAGACGGGAGCCTCGGTCAGCAAGGGTTGGGGCTGGGCCAAGGACGCCGGGAAAACGATACCTCCGCGACCCGCCCCACCCTCCGGGTGCAGCTCCCCACCGGCTCCTAGCGCGCCCCACTTACCATGCCGGCGTCGCGCTCGCCGGCCCGCCGCTCCGCAGCCCTCGCGCGCCGCAGTTCCTTCGCGCGGATTCGAACCCTCCTCCAAGGCACGGGGTCTGGCAGAGACTGCGAGCCGCGCCGGAGCGGCGGT